TGGTGGAGAGTACCGGGGTCCTTTTGAAGCATTTTGTAAAGCTCATGGAATCAGAATGGAGAAGACACCACCAAAGACGCCACAATTGAATGGGCTAGCTGAAAGAATGAATCGAACAATCACAGAAAGAGTTCGATGCATGCTCTCTCATGCTAAACTACCAAAGCCATTTTGGGGAGAAGCTTTAAAGACTGCAGTAGATATCATAAATCTTACACCATCAGTTCCTTTAGAAGGCGATATCCCGGAGGAAGTTTGGTCGGGTAAAAAGGTCTCTTACAACCATCTGAAGGTGTTCGGGTGCAGAGCGTTCGTCCATATTCCTAAGGATGAACGAGCCAAGCTAGACTCCAAAACAAAAGAGTGCATCTACCTTGGCTCACCAAAGGACGAGTTCGGCTATCGGCTTTGGGATCCGATTAACAGAAAAGTTATTCGGAGCAGAGATGTCGTTTTCTTCGAAGATCAAACAATCGAAGACATCAACAAATCAAAGAACCCAAAGCTAAGGGTTGTAAGGAATGAAGATTCTCATAAGCCCCAAGATCATGAACAAGTAATTGGAGATGATGGCGAAGGGGAACCCATCATGGATCCAAATGGTTATGAAAATGAAGAAGAAGATCAAGTGGAGCCAGAGGAAGAACATGAGCCAAGAAGGTCTGCAAGAGAGATAAGACCATCTGTAAGATATTATCTAGATGAGTATGTTAATCTTACAGATGAGGGGGAGCCTCAAAGCTATGAGGAGGCCATAGGAGACACTCATAGAGATGAATGGTTTGAAGCTATGCAAGATGAAATGAAATCCTTGCATGATAATCACACTTATGAGCTGATGAAGCTACCAAAAGGAAAGAGAGCCTTGAAGAACAAGTGGGTGTACAGGTTGAAGTATGAGGAGAGAAGCTCAAATCCAAGATACAAAGCCCGTTTGGTTGTGAAAGGATTCAACCAGAAGAAATGCATAGATTTTGAAGAAATATTCTCTCCAGTGGTGAAGATGTCCTCTATTCGAGTGGTTCTTGGTCTAGCAGCGGTTCTAGACTTAGAGATTGAACAACTCGATGTCAATACGGCTTTTCTACATGGTGAACTTGAGGAGGAGATCTATATGGAGCAACCTGAAGGATTCAAGGTTCCAGGAAAAGAAGACTTGGTTTGCCGATTAAAGAAGAGTCTTTATGGCCTCAAGCAAGCCCCAAGACAATGGTACAAGAAGTTTGACTCCTTCATGATGGATCATAACTTCAAGAAAACCAAGAATGATCACTGCGTTTTCATAAAGAGGTACGCAAGCGGCGACTTTCTCATATTAATGCTATATGTTGACGATATGTTAATTGTGGGCCAAGATCGCAACAAGATAGCCGCATTGAAGAATGATTTGGGAAAATGTTTTGCAATGAAAGATCTGGGGCAAGCGAGATAGATCCTTGGAATGAAGATCACTCGGGACAGACCAAAGAAGCTTTTATGGTTGTCCCAAGAACGATATGTTGAAAAGGTGTTAGAGAGATTCAACATGCACAAAGCAAAGCCGGTGAGCACTCCACTTGGTGCACATTTCAAGCTAAGCTCGAAGCAAAGTCCAACAAGTGAGAAAGAAAAAGAGGAAATGAAGACTACCCCATATGCATCAGCAGTGGGCAGTCTAATGTATGCTATGGTGTGCACCAGACCCGACATTGCCTATGCTGTAGGAGTTGTGAGTCGATTTCTAGTGAATCTAGGAAAGGAGCATTGGAAAGCAGTTAAGTGGATCCTACGCTATCTACGAGGCACAACAAAGAAGTGTCTATGCTTTGGCGAGGGAAAATTGGAGTTGAACGGTTACACTGATGCAGATTGGGCTGGTGATAAAGATTTAAGGAAATCAACATCAGGATTTGTGACTACCTTTGCAGGGGGAGCTGTTTCATGGAAATCAAAGCTACAAAAGTGTGTTGCCTTATCCACCACAGAAGCAGAGTATATCGCAGCAACGGAAGCATGCAAGGAGATGCTATGGATGAAGAACTTCTTGCTTGAGTTAGGAGTAAAGCAAGAGAAGTACAACATTCTATGTGACAACCAAAGTGCTATACACTTGGCAAAGAATCCAACGTTTCACTCCCACTCAAAACACATCGATATTCGGCACCACTGGATTCGAGAAGTTCTTGAAGATAAGCTTCTATATCTCAAAAAGGTACACACAGATGAAAACTGGTCAGATTTTATGACCAAGGTATTGCCGATCAAGAAGTTTGAAAATTGCTGCAAAGGTACGGGCATGAAGATGGTTTCGGGCTAAGTCGGAAAGGGGGAGATTTGTTGAATTTTCCTCCATTAGCCCAAACCCAAAGTTATGATCCATATTAAGAGCCCAAAAAGAGAAGCATAAGGAGAAAAAATTCTCTAGAATTATGGAGAAAAATAGAGAAAGTTATGGGTAGAATAATTAATGTTAGATATTTTGGATTAGGATAATAATTTAGAGAAATCTAGAACATGTTAGAAGTTTCTCTCTCACTTGTATAAATAGAGGTGCTTAGCACCATTTGTAACAATCTAGAATTAAGAAGAAAAACATTTGTAAGAGAGAGAGTTTNACTTGTATAAATAGAGGTGCTTAGCACCATTTGTAACAATCTAGAATTAAGAAGAAAAACATTTGTAAGAGAGAGAGTTTCTAAAAACAAACCTTTGTAGTAAATCCCTTTCCAAAAGAGAAAAAGTTTTCTTCTTAAATTTCTTAGTTGTCTAAATCCCATCTTCATCTCACAAATAATATTGGGTGATTTCTCAACATTTCAGTATCTAGCTCTAATATAAGTAATAAATAAATGGCGAATATCACATGATGAGAGTTAGGTCCCTTTACAATTCAAAATACTATATAGATACGTTTGCTATAACTCTGACCTCTAATTTGTTAATATTCGTTTAAAAAGTGGTCAAAAACGCATTAAACTATGTTATAATAATTTAGTAATTGATCACAATTATCCAGTGATTCTACTACGGTCATATGTTCTATAAGCCGTCGAAAGAGAAACGCTAAGGCGTGTCAAAAAAAAGAGCAACCTTTGAAACAAAGTTGGAAACTTTTAATAATAATGATTGTTTGGTTTGGGTGAGTCATGAACTGATATTTTCATTAAACCGACAAAGCATGAAACAGGGTCAAGTGGAAGTTCTGTAATAGAAGTGGGCTGCCTTACTAAATTTCTATGCTACACGATCGTTGATAGAGAAAGAAAGCTCTCAGCTTTATTAATAATCTTATTTTTCATCAATGTTGCTGCTGCTCCTCCTTTTGGTTTCTCGCGTTATCTGGTAAATTAGGAAAGTTTCCATTTTTATGTTTTGGTCTAATCTCTTAATATCTTCTCTCTTGCTCTGAATTGATGAGAGAGTTTTTTTTGGATACTATTTTTTGATTGATTTAAGCTTGTAGAGACGAGGAAGCTAAGCCCTAGCCAAATAAAAAATGAGTCACACGACGGCGGTTGATGATCCTGGCCAGATTAAACGTGCCCTTATTGATGCTTCTGCCGGCGCTATCTCCGGTGCTGTTTCTCGCACCGTTACTTCTCCCCTTGATGTCATTAAGATTAGGTTTCAGGTATGTCTCATTGATAAAGCTTTGTTTTTTATTTGCTTTATCTGGGAATATTTGAGTTGAATTTCCTTTGTTTTTGTTGTTTTGGATACATTTGTATTGTGGACGGCGTTGTTAGATTTGTAGCTTAGGAAAGTGATTAGCTTTTTATCTATGGAGAGTTATCCTTCATGCTCTGTTTAGAGATGTCTGAAAACAACTTCATTGTCTGTGTTTTCAGGTTCAACTAGAACCGACAACTTCATGGTCTGTGGTCAGGGGAAACTTGTCTGGAGCATCCAAGTATACTGGAATGTTTCAGGCAACTAAAGACATATTTAGAGAAGAAGGTTTCCGGGTCTGTCTCTTGAACACTTTCATCTCTTAAAACTTTTTTTCAGGTCTGTGTCATTAGAGTATTGTTGTTCTCTGTTTTGATGGTTTTCTACTTGTTTTCTACTCAGGGTTTTTGGCGTGGGAATGTGCCAGCTTTGCTTATGGTCATGCCATATACTTCAATTCAATTTACAGTTCTACATAAGTTGAAATCTTTTGCATCTGGCTCTACTAAAACAGGTAACAAGTCTACATGGGTCTCTCTAGATGTGGTACTTTGTAAATTGTGTTTGTTGATATGTGTGATAGCTTCTGTAAATGACTGTTATAATTTGGAGATCAATGCATTTTTTTTCTTAATTGTGTTGTAATCTTTTTGGAAAATTGCAGAGGATCATATACATTTGAGCCCTTATCTATCCTTCCTCAGTGGAGCTTTAGCAGGATGTGCTGCTACACTAGGATCTTATCCTTTTGATCTTCTTAGGACAATACTAGCCTCACAAGGGGAGCCTAAGGTTTTGTTTGTTACTTCACATATGAAACCATTTTAATGTAAGTTTAAGCTGTGCATTGTACTAACCATATATGAAAACCTTTCTACAGGTGTATCCAACAATGAGGTCTGCATTTGTTGATATAATCAAATCCCGAGGCGTTAGAGGATTGTATAATGGATTAACACCAACACTTGTTGAAATTGTGCCTTACGCTGGCCTTCAATTTGGCACTTATGACATGTTTAAGCGCTGGATGATGGTAAAGCTCATGAAACTTATCTTCTCTGTGTTGTTTTATATTTTTGGTTCATTTCTGGTGACAATCATGTTTTTACTAGGACTGGAACAGGTACATGTTATCCTCTAAAGACCAAACAAACGTGGACACAAACCTTTCTAGCTTCCAGCTTTTTGTTTGTGGGCTTGGAGCTGGCACTAGCGCTAAACTCGTCTGCCATCCTCTTGATGTGGTTAAAAAGCGTTTTCAGGTCAGTTAAAAGAAGTGCATTTGCTTTTTTAAATATCAGAAAGATTTGAAAGACTCTTTTTTTTGTTGGTTGCAGATTGAAGGTTTACAGAGACATCCGAGATATGGAGCTAGACTAGAGCAACGTGCATATAGAAACATGTTAGATGGTCTAAAACAGATTATGATGTCTGAAGGGTGGCATGGTCTGTACAAAGGCATTGTGCCATCAACTGTGAAAGCTGCTCCTGCTGGTGCTGTTACCTTTGTGGCATATGAGTTTACCTCTGACTGGTTGGAATCAATTTCTTGGTAGAGATTTTACACTCTTTTTTAACATCTTACATTTTTTTTTTATTTCTCTAGCGTTTCGGTTTCTTATAAGCTTGTTTGCCCTATTCAACAGAATCATATGACCATTGGTTATTGTGGGAGTTATACGGGTTAACATCGAGTGTAGCCGATTTTGTAGAGTGAGATTGTTTAAACTGTGTAGCGAATCCAAGTTATCATGTTCCAGCACATGTTTCTCAAAATAGGGAAAAATACTATGGATCTTTTCAACTATTTGATAATACAGTTGTTGAATTTGACAAGATTTTTTTATCATTTCTTACAAATTTAATATAGAAATAGATATATTACCTTACTTACATATCTCCTTTTTATTATATACAAATACTTTCTGAAAATGTTGATGTTTTCTGTATATGTATATACAGAATAGATCTTCCATACTTGTAAATATTATTAATAACAAATATTTCTAATGTTATTTGGATAGTTATACTGACATCTTGGTTAGGTGGTATTATTTGTTTAGATTATTTGTTAATACTAAATTATTTGTTTAGATGAAATAACATTTAATCTAATGTATATTAAATATCAAGCCCTAGATAAACTATCTGAAGATTTGAATTCAGGCTAAAAATTGAAATTCATTTTTTAAATTTTGTCACTAAACAAAACAAAAGGCAAAACATGCCATTAATACTTTACTAGTACTAAAACAGATCTTTGAAATAAATATTCCTAATTTAAATTGAAGTGTAAAGATTTTACAATGCCGAAATATTAAATGTATGGATACTAATTTATATTTGCCTTGATAAAGTTATATACGAAATCATTTCCATCAATGATAGATTTGAATCATACCTCTCATAATTACATACATGCATGATATTTCTGAATTGGCACTATATAAAAGGATTCACAAGATATTACAGATATCACAGAAACAAGTTACAGATATCAAAGAAACAAGTTATAACAAGTTATTTCAGAACAAAGAATGGGTATTCAGAGATCAACATATAATGTCATTGTAGTTTCTATCATTGTCATGCTTTTAATCACAGGTCAGTCAACTAGCACAATTTGTTTATAGTTTCTATAATTATCAGGACATGATCCACGATTTTACAAGTTTCAAATTTTGGAAGAACATAAAGAACGTTCTTGCTCATGTTATGTTTTTTTTTTTTTTATCTATAGAGTTTAGAGTGTTTATAATATTGATGATAATATATATTTTTTTTTTGGTTATGCATAAAATATTTACAGGATCAGAAGCTAGACCAGGGGTAAATGCTGACTCTTATTGTCCAGGGGTATGTCAACCCGGAGTTGAACCAGTCTGCAGTACACTCTGCGGTAACTTAGGGTTTCCTCAAGGCTACTGTCAAGGATTAACGTGTTGTTGCAACCAATTCCCCTCCCCACCTCCACCCCCACCCCCATCCCCACCCTGCCCAAACCATTGTTAGTTAACTCTCCATTAATGGTCTTTTATCTTTTAATATAAATATTAATAAAGCTTTTATTTAAAATTAAACTTTTATGTAATATTTTCATAATTATTGTTACATGATAAATCGGTTAAAAACATCAATAAAGTAAATTCGAGATTATTGTTCCGTTTATATTTCTTGGTTTGAAAAGATAAGAGTTTATCACAACCTCACATAGATAATTTTAGAAGAAGAGAACTTGTTCCCTAAGAAACTTAATATATGTTGCTAGTAACTAGAAATGGACATATAATCTGGAAAGTTTTAACCAGATAAATGAAAATGCATTAAAATTTTGTACTCTGATCGTATGATATATACTATTCCATTTAGAAAAAAATAGTGTCCTGTAAAAAAATCGAGTCAAAAAGATATATGTTTTTATGTAATTTAAATTAAATTGTTAACTTTGAAAAAAATAATTGTACTTACTAATTTATATTAGTTTAATTATGATAAACATATACTTATATAAAAACATTACATTGATAATCATAAATTAATATGTTTTAATGATGAAAACTCTAAAAGATGCATATTTTGAAAACAAAATGAGTACTAGACTACTAACAATAACGACAATAATGATTCAACTCAGTTAATTAGTATCAAAATAGATATTATTGAAGAATATTTTGAAGGTATCTAGAGCAATATAACCATATTTGTTTATAACGGTCAGAGAGGTAGGACCGATCCTGAGTTAAGCTGGATGAAATAATAGTTTTGGATTTCCAAATTTTTTGAAAACAATTATATGTATATAAACCTCCTGAAAAAAATAAACTCCAAAATCTGTAAAAAATAAAATTTAGATAAAATCCTTCAAAATTTTACTTTAAAGCCTTTAATTCTTAGAGTTGGACCTGCAGAAGTGAGGGTGATTTGTAAGACTTTTGGGCCATTTTATAGATTTGTGGAAGGAAATTCTTCCTCTATCCATTTTGGAGAAAATTTTCTACAAAGTGACATCCATATTTATCTGAAGCTTGAATCCAATTTAAAGGAATGCTCTCAATGATGTTCGTATTAATCCGTAAAAATCTTAAATCCCATGCACGTCTTTTTTATATCGGTATAACTTATCCCAAACAATCCAATATATGCCTTTCCATTTTATCTTGAACTTCACCAGAATTGAGATATAATTTTGATATTAAAGTTGTTGAATAGTAATTTGTCTTTTGTCAAAATAAAATTATATACTAATTTGTTTCCATCAATAAAAGATTTGAGTCAGACCCCTGATAGATATACGTGACTAAGATAAATCAGAATTGATACTATATCAGGAGCTTCAAATTTCTATAACTACTCCAATAAACCTCCATATAAAAGGATTCCAAGATATTACAAACATCACAGAAATAATTTAAAAAGAAAAAAGATAAAAAGAATGGGTATTCGGAGATCTCCATGTGCTTTCATTGCGGTTTCTGTCATTGTCAAGGATTAACCTGTTGCTGCAACCAACCAAATTTACCAAAAAAAACCTAAACCCCAAATATCCATTCTCCTTAATTTTAGTTGGATATTTTGTCTTTTGAAATGAAAATTATTAAAGATTTGTAATACACATTAAATTTGACACTATTGTTCCGTTTGTATTTCTTAGTTCGAAATAAAGAGTTTATCATAACCTCACTCACATAAATAAGTAGATAACTTGTTCCCTAAGAACTTTAATTACCAAATCTATTTCAGATTTGGTCTAGCATTAGAAGTAGAGGAAGAAGAAGAGTATAGCAAAGAAGAAGCAGAGAAACTCGTGCTACTGCTTCTCAAATACTTAGCTGTTTGCTGCATAGCAGAGGAAGACAAAGACTCATCTCTCCCTTCTCCTCCATTGTTATTACAACTCCCCGAGCAACCATTGTTCCCACCAGCTTTAATTGGTTCCTCTCTTTCTTGACGTATCTCACTGAGCATTGCAGCCACATCTTTCATTGTAGGCCTGTCTTCAGGTATAGGGTTAACGCAGAGAAGTGCAACTCCTAGCGTTTGCATCACCTCTTCGACTTCTGACTCTGGCCTCGCTTGTAGTCCTTCGTCGATTACTTGTATGTCTCTGATCTTCTTGACCCAGTCTACTATGTGGAGACCGTCTGGTATTGTTGGATCGATTGGTTCCTTCCCTGTTAGTACCTCTAGAACCACGACTCCGTAGCTATATACATCGCTTTTCTCTGTTATCTTCAATGAATAACCATATTCTGCATAGTATAATAATCATACAAATCTATTATGTCCGATTGATATAAGTTGCTTAGTAACTAGAAATGAACATATAATCTGAAAAGTTTCAACCAGATAAATGAAAATGTATTTAAATGTTATACTTTCATAGTATAATATTTACTATTCTATTTGGTTTAGAAAAAGTAATGTCCTGAAAAAAAATTGTTTCAAGAAGATATACTCCCTCCGTTTCATACAAATTAAAGAAACATTTAGTTTTACATATTTTCAAGATAAAAACACAATTACTTATATATCTAACCACTTTTCAACCAATAGAAAAATAAAATATCTTATAAAGCTAATAAATTTTGCCTCAAAACTCTAAAATAACCCTTATTTTGAAACAATTTTTTTTCTTTGGAATGACAACTAATTTGAAATAAAGGGAGTATATTTTTACGTTTCTATGTAGGTTAAATTAAATTGTAAAGTTTGAAAAAATTGTTTGTATTTATTAAATTTATATTAATTTTAAAATCTGAGAAACATATACTCAATAGTTAGTGTGAAAACTCTAAAATATGCATATTTTAAAACAAAATGAGTATTAGTTAGACTACTAATAAGCATGACAATAATGATTCAACTCAGCTAATTAGAATCAAAATAGATATTTTGAAGGTACCTGGAGCTATGTAACCATATGAACCAGCAATGGTTTTGGAAGAACGAGCAAAGTCGCCATCATCAACAAGCTTAGCAAGACCAAAATCTCCAATATAAGGCTCAAAATCAGGGCCAATGAGAATATTATTAGCCTTGATGTCTCTATGAACAATGGGAGGAACACAATCATGATGCAAGTAGGCCAAACCCTGAGCTGCACCAAGTATAATCTTGTACCTAACCTCCCATCCTAAGCTACATTCACCACTCCTCTCATGAAGCAAACTTCCCAAACTCCCATTCGACATATAATCATACATAAGAAGTCTAGTGTTCTTGTTCCAACAACATCCCAAGAACCTGACTATGTTCTTGTGTCTGATCGATCCAAGTGTCTTGACTTCAGCTGAGAATGAGTCTCGACCTCCTGATGTCTTAGCAACCGTCACTGCCACTGGCCAAAGCTTTTTCACTGCGATGACTTCTTGGTTAGGCATTTCTGCTCTATACACCACTCCAGAGCAGCCTTTACCTATAACATTAGCTTCCACCAAACACTTGAGTACATGTTCCACTGTGAAGTTGAGTTTCTGGAAAGGTGTGAACTGCCATGTCCATAGATTCTCTCCCTTCTCTGAATCATTACCTTCCTGAATCATTTGCCTTGCCCGAAAAACCGCTAACACGCCTAGTACTGCTAAAGCAACTGTCACGGTGATAAGCAATCCAATGGCTATCTTGAGTCTCTGTGAGTGCACAAAATCTCCACCGTTCTGTGTGTTTAACAGTGTAGTGTTACTTACAAAACAAGACTTGAGACCTTTGGAACATAGTCCAGAGTTTCCTTCCATCTCTTCTGCTATAAGCTGTCTGAAAACCTTACTGTCTGGAAGATAACCAGAGAATCTGTTGTTAGAGATGTTCAGAGAAACTAAGTTTTCTAAACCGGACAACGCAAAGAGGTCCCCTGAAAGCATGTTGTGAGAAATGTCCAGCACGGATAACCGGTTAAGCGCTGAGATCCTCGCTGGGATAGAGCCATCTAATGAGTTCCAGCTCAAGTTCAAGGCAATGTCTAGATCTTGAATGTCAAAGAGCTCCTCTGGTATAGTTCCAGAGATGTTATTACTGCTGAGATCAAGAAGCTGAAGATTCATGCAATGACCTAGAGACTTAGGGATCTCTCCGTTGAAGGAGTTCTTACTAAGGATGAGCCGGTTAAGCGAAATGAGCTGACCTAGACTATCAGGAACCTTGCCAGTCAAGTCATTTGAAGAGACATCAAGTACTTGAAGCTTTGTTAAAGAAGATAAAGAGAGAGGGAGGGAACCTCTTAGAGTGTTGTTGCTCAAGTTCAGCATTTGAAGTTGTCTGCAGTTGCTTATCTCCCAAGGAACTGGACCGGAGAGACTGTTCTCAGACAAGTCTAGGAAGCTAAGGTTCTGAAGTAAACCTATTTCTCTAGGGATTTGACCAGTGATCCTGTTGTTGACAAGCCTTAATCTGACAAGGGAAGTACAGCTTCCGATCTCCGGCGGGATAACGCCGGAGATGGCATTAGATATAAGCAAGAGCTTAGTCAGATTACGAAGCTGGAACAAACCAGGAGGTATAGCTCCAGTGAGAAGATTCTGAGACAAGTCAAGAGCTTGAAGATTCTGACAACCGGTTAACTCTGTCGGAATATTCCCTTCTAGCTTATTCTGCCACCCTAAGAAGATATTAAGCTCCTTGAGTAATCCAATCTCCGGCGGAATCAAACCGGAGATCTGATTAGCATCAATCTGCAGCTGAACAAGCTTTGTGCAGTTGCTTAGAACAGAAGGTATCGATCCTGTGATGTTGTTGCTGCTAAGCATAAGCTCTTGGAGATTAGACAAGTTACCAAAAGACTTAGGTATGGTTCCAGAGAAAGAGTTCATAGAGAGATCAATAGCGTTTAAGCTTTTGATGAATCCAATCTCTTCAGGGATGGGACCGTGAAGATCATTCTGCCATAGAAGCATCTTCTCTAGCTTTTGAAGTTGACCTAGCTCTCGTGGAAGCGTGCCAGACAAGTCATTGTCATATAAAAACATATTGATAAGCTGAGAGCAGTTTCCAAGCTCTTTAGGTATCTCTCCTGAGAT